TGTCCAGGCAACTTGAGCTAGGCTCGAATAGCGATGGAGATACTGGTTCCGGTGGACATGAGCCTCAAGGTAATGGGGAGTCTCATCATGGGCCAAATTCTGGAGGTGGAGGGGAAAGAATATCTGACAGATCTATTGGCAATGATGGTTCCAAGTCTGATGCTGCACTTGATGATGTATCTGACTGTGAGATTTTGTGGGAAGAAATTACTTTGGGGGAACGTATTGGACTCGGTACTTGACTTATCATCATCTGTTGTCTGTTTTGGTGTGACTAGTTCTAGAAAGATTTAACTATTTTACCTCTTTTGATACAGGATCTTATGGAGAAGTGTATCGAGGAGATTGGCATGGGACTGTGAGTATTTTATATGCTTTCAATCTATACTGTGAACTATATTTCGTATAACCATTAAGCTTTTCGAATAGAACCGGATGAAGAAATACTTGAGCAATTCGGTAGTTTGAGTTCGATATTGTTGAAACTCTTGGACTTGGTAGGAAGTGGCTGTCAAGAAGTTCCTTGATCAAGATATTACAGGAGAAGCATTGGAGGAATTCAGAAGTGAGGTACAAGCCTTTCTTCTAACATTTTCCTTTTCCTTCTGTTCCTTGTTCCATAGTTCAATGTCAAACCTGTATTTTGTATTCTTTTCATGATGCAAGGTCCGAATCATGAAAAGGCTTAGACATCCCAACATTGTTCTCTTCATGGGAGCTGTGACCCGTCCACCGAATCTCTCAATTGTTACGGAGTTTCTTCCTAGGTAAACACTATGATCTTTGCAGGATTTTAATTAATTTGATACCAAATGATTCTCATGTCTGCAATGACATTCCATCTCCTTACTCACCAGGCGCATATCTCTGTTTTTCTCTTTTAGAAATAGACTATTTTGTGACCTCTAAATACCAAAAATCTTCTTTGCATCAATGAGTGTTGCTCAAGTATTCCCCTTGAGCTCTAAAATCTGAAGAAAGAAATTAAGAGATGGCCTTTTTCTGGATCTTTTACATACCGTTTATCCCACACTTTTGCAGAGGTAGCTTGTATAGGTTGATTCATCGGCCTAATAACCAATTAGACGAGAGGAGGCGTCTAAGGATGGCCCTTGACGCTGTATTTCTCTTTTTCTCTTTCATTCTTTTGTTCTTTCATCTCTATTATCTGTTTGTAATTTCTGGATTCTTTAAATATAGTGACCAGAAAAACATGTTACTTGTAAAAAAAATTACAGGCTCGTGGAATGAATTATTTGCATAGCTGTAATCCGATGATTGTCCATCGCGATCTGAAGTCCCCAAACCTTCTAGTTGACAAAAACTGGGTCGTGAAGGTCAGCATTCTCTCCATAAAATACATTCTTTTTTAGCAATTGGATAATGTTATATCTTATGTAATAGCTATTAGTGTGCATATAACAACAATGGCTTTTCGTATATATTATCAGGTGTGCGATTTCGGGTTGTCTAGAATGAAACATAGCACATACCTCTCTTCAAAGTCAACAGCTGGCACGGTAAGTGCTAGAAGGAAGTTACCGTCTCTCCTGTCTTTGTCGTCTCTCTTTGCAGTTATCGTAATGGCCGATTTGTTAATCTGTGTTGGTCTCTTTCAGGCTGAATGGATGGCTCCAGAAGTGCTTAGAAACGAACCTGCTGATGAGAAGTATGCTTCTTGGTCTTTGGCTAATAAATATTCTTCTTTGTTCCCTTTTATAAGAATTAGGCTTAATGTCAGAATAAAACAATCCGTGAAACAGGTGCGATGTTTACAGCTACGGAGTGATTCTATGGGAGCTTTTCACGTTACAGCAACCGTGGGGAAAGATGAACCCGATGCAAGTTGTTGGAGCAGTTGGGTTTCAGCATCGACGTCTTGACATTCCCGACTTTGTCGATCCAGCTATTGCAGATATCATCAGTAAATGTTGGCAGACGTAAGTGTTATATGTATATGGATTCCTTAACACTGTTTCACCTAGTAGTCATTTATTTCACTGGACCATGTCTCAAATTAACCGAGTCTTGAATCTTTTACGCCTATAGTTTTGTAACAACCTTGACAATGTGGTTATTAGGGATCCAAGGTTGAGGCCAAGTTTTGCAGAGATAATGACTTCTCTAAAGAGGCTACAGAAACCTGTAACAGGTTCAAACATCCCAAGACCAGTCCCTTCATTAAAAACTGAACAAGAAGAAAAGGATTGATAACAGAGGAGAGGAAGAACAAGACCAATGTGGCAAACATTTTTGATGTTTCTTTTCTGTTTTTTTTTGGCTCAGCTTCAGTGCTTCACAACGGCTTGTGATTTTAAGAGCTATTAAAAAAACAAATTCATGGAAGATTTGAAGATTGAAGAAGGTGAAGGATTATTATGCTTGTGTTTTGTTGCTTGCCAGTGATATGTTCATGTGTAATTTTCCTCTGTTTTGTTTTACAAAAAATTGAAACTGTAAAAAGAAAAAAAAAATATTATTTGACATTGATAAATCATTGACC